GTACCAAAAAAAAAGAGAACATTTGTCACTGTTCATTCATTCATTTTTGTGGTGCTTTAGATTGAACCCAAGGTCTGGCTAATGCTAGGCAAGTGCTCTATCACTGAGTTACATTTCCTGCCCTGTTATCGATTGATTGATTTTTTTGTTGTTGTTGTTGTTGTTTTGAGACAGGGTCTCACTATGTTTTTTTGAGACAGGGTCCCACAGGCTGGCCTTGAACTCACTTTGTAGCCCAGGCTTGTCTCAAACTTGCAATGATCCTCCTGCCTCAGCCTCCTGAGTGCTGGGGTTACAGGCGTGTGCCACCACGCCCAGCTTCCTGCCCTTTTATTGTTTTTTTAAAATTTTAAGACAAAGTTTTGATGTTTCCCAGGCTGGATTTGCACTTGAAATTCCACCTCGGTCTCCAAAATAGCTGGATGTGGTAGTTAACTGTCAGTTTGAGTGAGAAATGCCCAACTACACTGAATCAGCACAACTCTGGGTGTGGATGAGGGCATTTACTGAAGACAGAAGACTCATCCAGGGTAGGCTTATCACTTGATTATTATCAAAGGGAAGTGAAGACAGAAGGCTCACTTCTGTTTCTTTGGAGGAGCTCCAGTCTTTACTTTCACCTCAGACATCATCTTCTGGCTTCCAGCACAGACCCTTTAGCCTCCCACTGTAGACCCTCTGCCTCCTGCTAGGACCCACACTGGACACTACAGTGAGCTCCAGGCCTTCAACGGAGTCCTCCGGATCTCCAGCACACAGAGAGTCCTGTGGAGTTTTCCACTCCTGATTCTGCGGGCGGCCATTGTAAGCCAGTTTTGTAAATTCTTCTTATCTATATCTTACATTAAGTCTGTTTCTTTAGAAAGCACTGACTGATACCCTAGGGTACAGGCATGGGCCTCTATATCTAGCTCATTCCTTTGTTAATGTTATACTGCCTGAGACATTTAATATATCCCCCTTTGGTCTATCTGGAATATTACTTAAAATTTTTTTTGCCCTTTTTGACATTGCTATTCAAAAAGTTTGGACATCAGGTGATATTTGGCTTTCTTTAGAATGGTCTTCCATGATGTTAATTTTTAGGCAAGACATATAACCAAGTTTTCTTTTTTTCAGACTTTTTTCTGTATTTTTCTGGACTTCCCAGTTGCCATTTGTAAATGAAAATAACATAACTGCCTCAAATAGGAAACATCATCATGCTGAATTACTTCAAAGTTATAGTTTTAATAAAGCTTTCCTTGATTTGGTTTCTTAGGAGTGGACATGACTGGTTGAGTGGAATACCATGGTACTTGAGACCAGGATCAGAGCAGATTATTTCCCAGTATTTACCTATGTGGTAGATAATCAGAAACCCTTCAGTGAAGGATTTTGTTGCTCTAGTGCTGATAGTGTGGTCCACAGTTTAGCTCCTTCGTGGACTGCCTCACCCAAGTCCTCGTTGTCCCTATCCGCAGTGACTGACAGATGCGGGACTACAGAAACCTGGCCATTTTGGGTCAGTACAAGACAACTCTAAAAGATAATTTAAGCTCCAGAGCTCTGCAGGGAGTCAGCTGAGTTTGGTGTGTACCTACATTACAATTTGATTTTTTTTTCCCTGCCCGTACCAGTTGCTGTCCCTTTATTTCTACAAGTATTATGTGAAGTTTCTCCTTAAAAAAATCCCACATACTAAACTCCATCTCTGAGTTAACTTTCAAGGGTAACCAATAATGATAATTTTCAAATTTTCCTGGAATGAGGCATGGAATCTATCACTGGCCCTCCCATCCATCCACCCATCCATCCATCCATCCATCCATCCATCCATCCATCCATCCATCCATCCATTCTTCCATCCATCCTTGATGCTTTTGTTTGTATGAAACCACCCTCCCATTCATTATTGCCTTTTTAAATAACACTTTTTCAAGTTATAATATCTATACTATTCATTAAGGTAGTTGTTAGTTGTGTTTAATATCCAAAAGATGTAAATTAAATGTGAATTGTTGGAGCATGTTAGCATACTCTGTGATGAAAATCTCAAAGTGAAGCTTTTATTAAATTTGTTAAATAAGTTTATGAAAGTCTTAGCATTTTTTTTCAAATTATCTGCAGGGGGCAGCAGAGGGTAATTTTAGTGTAAATAGATGATCAGAGACAGAGCATAGGATTTATTTAAACAAAATAGACCGACCAATCATGAAGTCATAAGGTTGCCCAGTTGGAAGAAAAGTGAGTGAATAGATAAATAGATCTATTCATGAAAGACTGTACTGGAGACAAGAGAGGGAAATAAAAAGTAGGCAGTAAAAGAGAGTCTAGGTAAGTAACTAAGAGACTTCAGAGTGATATTCTTGGGTTTAATTCTGTTTCTATCACTTATTGCCTTTATGTCTTTGGAAAATTTACTTAGCTTTTCTGGGTTCAATTTCTTAAATTATAAAATGGGGATAATAATGATTGTTACTGTATAGGGTTGTTGAGAGAATTAAATGAAACAATATTTGTAAAGTACTTAGAATGAGGCTTACGTGTTAAACTTAGGGCTTGACAACTGTTAATTACTACAAGCATGATCAGTGTGGTCTACCATTGATGTTCAGCAATAAATAAAATATGGCTATTCATTTTATTTATTAAAATAAATGCTCTGGTTTTGATTGCTTATTTGCTATTGCACATATTTTCAAGCTTCTATTCCTAAGTTTTTCTTTTTGTAGAGTGTTTACAATTATAATAAAAAATCAGTAACTCTCTTGTGACATATTTTTTCTTAATTTTCTAAGGATAATTCATATTAGGTGACAGATCAATTATATATTGGAAGTGAAAAATTTTAAGATATCAGTATAACAATAGGACATAAAAATAGAAACATGCATTTTGTAAGGCCCCCTTAAGTTACCAATTCATATAGGTCATGGCTATGCATGGGAAAAGTTCCATTATTTCAGATGAGCCTTGAAAGCTTGGGTCAAAATAGTTTGCAGAGAGTAAATTGGAAAACAGAAAATGCACCCTGGCCAGGAGAGCAATCGTTTCATTTTTTATACTACCTCATTTGTTATACTACATCAGCAGTAATTAATTTGTAGAACTAATGGCTAGCAAATATTAAATGTTTGTTTGTTTTTTTTTTGTTGTTGTTGTTTTCTGGTACCGGGAATTGAACTGAAGACCTCACACTTGCCAGGCAGGTCCTGTGCTGCTGAGCTAAATCCCCAGCCTCCTAAATATTTGGTTTTCAACTGTGCTACCAAGTCACCTTGAGATTTTAAGTGGGCCATTTAGCCATTCTGTGCTTTAGTTTTGTGTCACTGAGCAGGCATTAAAATAAATGATCATCAAAATGATGCTCTGTGGAAAAGCTCATGTCAATATAAATTAAGATTGGATTCAGAAATTTCCCAGTACGGTTGGACTTGTAATTGCATAACAGAGACTGAGCCTTGGGTTTGTCTACTATCAAAACCACCCTCTCAGCCTCTCTGTGGGGGGAAACCAGAGTGTTATATTTTAAATGACATTTCTTCACTGATTTTTTGACACCTGGTTAAAGACTGAACAGAAGAGAAGCTTGCTATAACCTACTCATTGTCATAGCTCATATCCCAAAGTCTCCCATGCCACCTTCACTCACTGGAAAGAACACTTGAGAAGGGGAAGGACAAAAAATATTTATAGTTTAATGTTTGGCACAAAGGAAGACGGAACTGCTAACTTAGGGGAAAAATGCATGCTCTTTAATGTTTTTCTTGTTTGCAAATTTTCTTCCCTTTCTGGGAGAGTTTTGTCTTGGGGTAGGGAATTCTTGCCATGTAGATTTTTTTCCCTCTCAAATGTAATGAAAAATTAGGCAGAGTTTTTTCTGCCTTGCAGCATTAGGCAGAGGTTTTCTGAAAAGTAGGAATTCAGACGTGTGGTAACTAAAAAAAGGACTGTTCACTTGACATTTAAATGATCAGTCTGTCTTCAAAGGTGAAAGCAAATTCCCATGAGTGCCGAATCGTGACATAGAATAATGACCCCCAAGGTAGGTGGTGATGTCTGTGAATATGTTTTTACATGGCAAAATGGACTTTGCAGGTGTAATTAAATGAAGGCTCTTGAGGCAGGGCATGGTGGCGCATGCCTGTAATCCCAGCACTCAGGAGGCTGAGGCAGGAGGATCATTGTGAGTTCAAGACCAGTCTGGGCTACAAAGTGAGCTCAAGGCCAGCCTGAATTGCGTACTGAGACCATGTCTCAAAAAGAAAAAAAAAAAAAATCAAGAATCTTGAATGGAGAGATTATCCTGGATTGTATCAGTGGGCCCCATATAATCACAAATTGTCTTAATAAGTTGGGGACTGGAGGGTCACAATCAGAGGGGATGAGCCAGTACAGTCAGGGGCACAGTAATGTGTCCAGAAGCCAAAGAATACACATTCCCCAGGTGCTAGAAAAAGCAAGGAAGAGATTATCTGCATGAACTTCCAGCAAAAACGCAGCCCCGCCCATTCCTTGATTTTAGCTCCATAAAATCCATTTCAGATTTCTGATTTACAGACAGTAAGATACTCAGTTTGTTTGTGTTACTAAGTTTATGGTTGTTAGAGTAGTGTTGGAAAATTAAAACACTTACAATACTTCCAGAGTTTTGTGTGGAAAACAAAACTCCAATTCTACTCACCACTTTCATCCAAAAAATTTCAAGGGAAAATATTTTATTCCACATTTGACTACTGAGGCTGCATACCTCTTCAACGTAAAAGTTCTCATGATTAGGAAATTTATGGGCAAGGATCCTAAATAAGTATTCCGTTTTGCCTTTTAATGCAAGCTTTGACAAATCCATTTATCTTGGGCACGTTCAGTGCCTTACTGTCAAGTTTATCTGCGAGTAGCAGAAGTCAGAGGAGAACCAATGAGCTGAAAGATAACTCAATGAACCTGCTTCCTCCGTCTTTGCTTCAGTGCTTCATACAGGAAATATATTGCTGTGTCAAGTTCCAGAGAAGAGTTTCTTCTTTGCCAAATTACTAATCAGACTAAAACATGTCGAGCTGAAGGAAAAGAGTAGGAGGAAAGGAGTGCCCTGCTGCTTATGAGCTAAGAAAACCCAGCACCAAGAAGTCGCTTGGACAAAGACTTGCCATGTTCCCAGCTGCTGCTTTACTTGTGAGGAGGAGAGACCCGGAGGGGAGGACAGAGCACAAGACACCAAAAATGCCCTGCCTCTCGAGGACTGCTGACCTCGCGCTCCTGCTGATGTTCACCGTCTTCTTCGTGGTGGGTGAGTCTGAATTCTCTTTAGGAGAATGACTGGCGAGACACTTCACATTAGTTCTTCGTCAGCTTCCTTTGCTTTTTTTTAATGGTACAATGTGAGTCAATTGCAATGGTAAATATAGGAGGTTATTCCCAGGTTTGTTTGGCTTTATTATTGTTACTTTCCCCTTTGTCTTATTAATTTTATTTTGTACCCTACTACAATATACCCATCTCTACAACTGGCCCATAAGTTCTTTCTCCCCCTCCCCAGTTCTTGGACAAAACAGGGTAAGTTAAACACAATAGTTAGCCATCAAAGTTACCTGAGTTTTCTTTATCTTCTTTTTCTTTTAGAAAAAAATTTAAATGATGATCCTATCCTATCCTACCCTACCCTACCCTATCCAGGCCCATGAAGTCAACAGACTAAATTAGGAAAGTATTACTTTCCATTATTTTCTATGACTAGGTGCTTTTAAAATACAGTACACATGCAGTTATGCTGGCATGTCTGACACATGTCGGTATTTATCTTCGAGATGTGTGGGCTGTTGCAGACACTTTCTCAATCAGAGTCCCCACTCCTCAATGAGTAGGTTTCTGTAGGAGTTGAAGAGAACTTAGGGCTACTGTGGGGGTGTCCTAGTTTCATTTCAGAGGGTTTGTAGGAGTTGATGTGGGAGGGAGTTTTCAGGTTTCACTTCTAGTAGTGGGGCAGCTTCAAGGGTACAGTGTAGTTGGTTTTAATTTTAAAAATTTGATAAGTTAAGGAAAAAAAGGTATTTTCCCTTCATCTGAATGACTTCAAAATTATTTTTGTCTATTTTTCAGCAAAAAGAAAAAAATCACATGTTAATCTTACTAGTGAGCACATCTAAAATAACTACCTGTGCTACTGTACTTTTCTGTTGAAAATTTCCACACACTTTTTTCTTGGTGCGTACAGCAAACCAGAGAAGTAGGCATGGAAGACAGCTCTCTGTCTTACACAGATAGAAACCAAGGCTTAGAGAAATAAAATGATTTGTCAGGTTAGAGGGGACTGGTATGTGGCGAATCACACTCAGTTGCATGTCAGTGAGTACCACAGAACATGTGAGTGGGCAATTTTCATCAATATTTAACCTTACGCTTTTCACTAAAGAACACCTATGATCATTACACCCCTGGAGAAAGTCACAACAATAGCTATAAGCTTAGTGGACTGTTACTTGAAAAAAGCGATCTGGATATTTTGACAGTTGAGATCTTGTAGAAAACTCTTGTAGAAACTTGCGCAAGCCTGCACTTGGTAGGAAGACTGTTGATATCAAACTGAACTATTACTTGTGGGAAAAAAGAAAAAAAAAAAAAAAAACAGGATTAAAACAAAATAAATAGTTTGAATTTAAAAGTTAAGAGGTTCACATTTAAAACTTTCTGAACACAACTAGGAGATACTATATACATCAAATCTAAATCTATGCTGTACCAATAACATGACCACATTGTTTAGGTTTGAGATGGAAAAAAGCCAGTTTACTTTATGTGCAGTGATTTGGTGTGATAAATTCATCAAAAAATGATTTACAGTAATGAAAAGAACCACTTGGGTAGTCATTTTATGTCTTGCTTATTTTTTTTTCCTGGTCTTTTTGAGACAGGGTCTTGCTATGCAGTTCAGGCTGGCCTTGAGCTCACTTTGTAGCCCAGGCTGGGCTCAAGCTCACAATGATCCTCCTGCCTCAGCCTCTCGAGTGCTGGAATTACAGGCATGTGCCACCACGCCTGACCTTATATCTTTCTTACTAATATTGCTTTGGTAGAAATATTACCAAATAACTCACTACATACAAGATAGTCACAAGGGGAAAGACAGATAACTTCAGTGTAAGCAATAGGGTTTTTTTTAGAAACAGGGTCTCTCTATGTAGTTCACGCCAGCTTTGAGCTCACTTGTAGCCCAAGCTGCCCTTGAACTTGCATTCTCTTCGTACTAAACCTAGATGTTCCTGAAAGCTATTACTGAATCACCACTGGTCTTCTCAGAAGAGCTCAGAGGAGAAATCGCTGCCTGTGTGTATAGCTAGCACACACACACTATGCAGCTAACCTTTTTATTGCACTGTGGGATAAACACACACATTATGGCTGATAACATCAAAGTTTTAGTTTTTTATTTTGACTCACCCAAGAGAGTTTTTACATTTCCAAACAGTTGAATTTAGGCTCACATATTTTCAGATTTTCTAATTTCATCTGAACTAGATAAAAGATTATGCTTTGTATTGCTTTTGGTTTTTAAATTCATCAAAGATTTTTTTGAGACAGGATCTCTCTATGTAGTTCAGGCTAGCTTTAAACTATGTAGCCCAAACTGGCCTTGAACTCATAGTGATCCTCCTGCCTCAGCCTCCTGAGAGCTGAGATTACAGGCATGTGCTGCCACACCCAGCTAGCAATAAGATTTTTATTTACCTATTTACTTTGTGGTTTACTTATTTACTTATAGTTTCAAGCCATATGATAGTTAGTAGACAATATTTAATTAGAAAATACTAGAGGAGAAACTAAAAATAAATTAAATCATCTCCCTCAGAGGCAAATTCCTAACCTTGTATGTGGTCCGCTTTTCCAAACCTCATACCCTGTGCTATCTCCTGCTTTTTTTTTCTCCCTGTAGTCTTCTAGAGTTCTTTGCTTGTGTTCAAATTGCTTCCCATTCTTACAATCGTTTCACTTTTTATAAAAGTTATAGATTTTGCCAGTATGAGTTGCTGTAAAGGAACTCTATTTTTTTCTTCTTTGGTTTAGATTTTACTTTTTGTCTTTATCTTCCACTAGAGGGCAGGAAGTGACATTGGAGAGATAAACATCAGGACAAGGTTGGTAGTTTTCAGCAGATTTACACGAGATAGCGAAAGAGATGAAAAGCAAAGAAGGGATTCATTCTCACTGATGTCGGTCCCATTCTCCTTTCTTAGCTTGTGATAGTGTGAATTCATACATAATAATAATGGTTTATAGGTGTGTTTTCCTCTAAACATCTGTGCACGAGCAATGAATGAAAGTCCTTTTTCAGAGCATTGAATGTGTATGGAGGATATGTGTGTGGAAAATAGTGCCTAAAAGTTGTTAGTGATCGAAATCAGGCAGACAAAGCTGAGATGAGGCCATTGGGAACATTTAAAATCAGTATCACGCAATTGATATGAATTTAGGAAAAGTCTGAAGAAAGGTGAAATTATGGTGGGCTGGCCTTGTTGAAGTCCTCCTGGAGGAGAAATGTCTTGAGCTGGGCCTTGAATGACAGGTTTGAACAGATGGGGAAAAGCAGAGGAACAAATGGAGAGGAGGGAATGTGCAGCATGAATAAAGACAAGGGGGTGAAGGAAAGAAAGAAGTGTAGCTGGATGGAACAGAGATTGTGTTATATGTTGGTGGGAAATAAGGCTGGGTTGAAGGGTCCTTGGCCACTAAACTGAGGAAGCTGGTTATTGTGCGGTAGGCAGTGAAGAGCCATTTGTTGCTTTGTGAACCAGAAAATAATATATGGTGATCTTTCCAGAGACTAAGGTGGCAGCGTTATCCCTCTGCGTGGTAGTGCACTAGTAAAAGATTTATTTTGAGTCAGAAGTCAATAATTTCTACCTCAAAATCCTATTTTAGAAAGTTCCATGACATCACATTAGTGGCTGAGAAGGGACTTTATTGAGTGATGTTGAATTCAGTTTGGGGAGGGAGTAGACAGAGGAGGGGAATTCCTATAGGTACTTGTAAGTCTAGCAAAATCCAGGGTGTGTGAACCATTTATGGAGTGGATGACCCCACAAGGAGAATGCACAGAGCTAAAAATAATATAATAAGCACTAAAAGTTTTTGAGCTTGTGTTCTAGGAGCCCTAATTTTTCTGTCACAGAATGCATAGCTGTGAGAAGAAATGGGCAGAGAGACAATGTAACCTACAAATTTCATGCTTAACCTTAAAGGAAGAGGGAAGAAACTTGTGAAATTGAAGAATGAGTTGACGTATTAGATACAAGGAGGCTGGTAGGTCGAGGATGGCAATAGAGACATGGGAAGAAATGAAAATGTTCACTATGGACAGCTTCCTATCAGGGTTCTGAGTATTTCAGAGGCTAAAAAATTCACCCATTTGGTTTTATATTGTATTTGAAAACTTAATCTATATAGTGGTTAAAACTTTGTATCTAACACTGTATTTTTGATTTTTCTTCCTTCCTTGGTACTACTGACACCTATCTGCCCATTCCTTACTATAGATCTACAGAGCAGATCTGTGAATATGAAATAGTTTAGAACTATGTAATACTAACAGCTCCAAAGAAGAAAATAGAAAAACCATTACTTTTATTTTATTTGTTTATTTTTTGCGATAGGGTCTCACTATGCAGTTCAGATTGACCTTGAGCTCACTATGCAGCTGAGGCTGGCCTCGAACTCACAGCAACCCTCCTGCCTCAGCGTCCTGAGTGCTTGGGTTACAGGTGTGCGCCACCACACAGCCAACAGCCATTATTTTTTGATAATAATAATAAATATTACAAATTCATACTGTATTCACAGTTCATTTTTCTTTTTCCCTAGAAAGAAATTACATTGTTGGGGCATTAAAACTAAGCAGATTCAAAGTTTTTCCAGCTATAATTTATGTGTTGGATGTCTGAAAGCCTACACTCCATTCTAGGAACAAAATATTGTTTATGTGTAAGGAAAGCCCACTGGAAAAGCCTAGTAGAAGCATGAAGGTTTTGTATTTCTAAAGAAATACTTTCCTTTAAAAATCTGTGGTACTTGAATTATTGGTGCTATTGGGTTCTCTTGGACTCAGACTCTGAGCTGGTTTTGTGTACAACATGTTGGCAGAGGAAGCAGTCCACCTGCAGTATCATCAACTGTCACCTCATCTGATCTCTTGGGGGGGTCTGCAGCTACAATGGCCCCGGAGAGCCCCGCACTGATCAGAATGGCTTGTCCTTTTCAGCTCCATCTTGCTCGGTTGGTGGAGGTGGGCTGTCCCTG